AGCGCAGCTGCGCCACACAGCAGCCGACCTCGCAGCGGCGACCGATGCCATCGCTGCGTCGACACTGGCAGCGGCCACCAAGGACGACCACATCGCCTCGCTCCAAGCCGAGCTCGAGCTCACGACCAGCAACCTCGCACACGCCGAGCACGCGCTCGACCAGACCAAGCGCGACCTTGCAACGTCCAAAGCGACCGAAAACGACAACGCGGTCCTCCTCCGCGACGCTACCAACACCATCGCGTCCAAGGACGAGCGCATCCAGACGCTTCAAGCAGACCTCGACAGCCATGCACAAGATTTCGCTGGCGTCGTGGACCAGCTCGAGCAAGCGCACCAGGACTTGGCGTCGCATCAAGCGCAAGAACGCGAGCTCCAAGACCAGCTCGACCGCCTCCAGGACGAGCTCACGGACAGCTTGACGGATCGATGCTATGCGACGATGGACCACGACGCCACCATCAAGACCATGAACGAGCGTCTCCAGATGCTGCAAGCCGACGTCGACGGTCATGAGCAGCGGATGCTCCTTCAAGTCTCGGTGAAGGACGCCTCGTTGGTCTCGCATCAAGCTCGCATCGACGAACTACTGGGTCAGCTTGCCGTGGCCAAGATGGCCGCTGGCAGCGCCCAGCTTCTTCACGACGCGACGATCGAGACCAAGGAAGCGGCCCTCCGCCAGCTTCAAGTCGACCTCCACGAACGCGACCAGCTCGCTCAGACGCACCATGGTATTGTCGACCAGCTTCAGCGTGCTGTGGCCACCAAGGACGAGCTTTTGGCCGCACACGAAGGTCAAGTCCGCGATCTCCAAGGTCAGCTTCGAGTGGTCCAAGCCAAGATCGAGGCTACCGAGGCAGCTCAAGTCGGTGCAGCCCGCGCTCAAGCAACGTCCATGCAAGGCAAGGACGAGCAGATGCTCATGCTCCAAGAAGACCTCGAGGGCCGCACGAATCAAGTCGCAGCGCTCGTTCGCACGCGCGATCAGCTCCAATGCGACGTGGCCGAGCTCCAATCCGACGTGGCCGAGCTCCAAGCGCAGATTCGCCAGCTTCAAGACGATCTCGACGACCACGCGCAGCGAGACCAGGAGCTTGGCCGTCTGCTGGAGCAGCTGGAGCAAGTTCAGTGCGACTTGGCTGGCAACGACGAGCTGCTGCTGTTGGCGCACGAGACCCAAGTTTGTGATCTCCAAGCCCAAGTCGACGACCTCCAAGATGTCGTGCTCGAGCTCGACCAGCAGCTGGAGACGAGCGAAGCGTACACGCGAGTCCTCGAGTCTGACGCCGTCGGGAGCCGCGAAGAAGTGCCCGAGGTGACCCACCGCCGCTGCGACCGTCGCACCTCCGTGTACACCGACGCGATGGCTGGTCGACCTGTATCTCTGTAGTTATATGTATCTCAACTGTACATTGCATGTAAGACAAAAATGATAATCCAATGAAAAAGTACAATATTAAATAGGAACCAGGAGCTTAGTAGCAGAGATCCGAGGCGTCGCTGGCGAGGTCGACTGTGTTGGACGCTCGTCGGTTGGCGCGTTGGCGTTGCGTGCATGTATCCAACGGCTTTGCTCGATGCATCCGGATACGCTTGTCCGGATGGCGTGTATCCGGTCGGCTTGAACGGATTGGTCGCCACAGAAATTCATAGAGCATGGCGGACTACGGAGGCGGCTACGGCGGTCGCGACGGAGGTCGCGGCTACAACGATGGCCCTCGTGGCGGCTACAACGACCGGGGCTTCCAAGACGGCAACCGCCGCCGGAAGCGCTCGGACGACATGTCGGACAACTATGGCAACAAGCGCCACCGCAACAACTACAACCAGCGCGGCGACTACCGCGACAACTACCGCGGTCGCCGCGACGACAACTACCGCGACAACAACCGCAACGGCGGTGACGACGACGTCATGGAGCTCAAGCGGCGCGTCATTACGCTTGGCGACAGCGTGAACGTGAGCGACACGCACGCGGTGCGCGACGTGCTCTCGCGCTGCGGCGAGTGGCTCGGCGAGCAGCTCATGTTCCAGGCGCAAGAAATCGCGGCGCTCGTCGTGACGTGCGCCGGTCGCCTCAGCGCCAAGAGCGAGTGGTACGCGCTGCTCACGACGCTCCTCAACGAGAAGAATGGTGTCTTTGGCAAAAAGGTCGTCGAGCTCGCATGCCAAGCGATCCAAACCGACCTCAACTGGTGGCAATCCGAGGACGACCCCGCTGAGGGCACGACTGAGCTTCTGCGCATCAAGCTCCTCGTGCGCTTCCTCGGCCACCTCGCGACGACCAAGATGATTGTCGCTGCCGACGTGGTCCAGCTCCTCGCCAACTTTGTCGCGCTCTGCACGCCCGAGCCGATCGCGCCCAACAACCGGGCCCAGCAAGACGCGACTGCGATCAAGGACTACATTGCGTACATCGTTCTCGACACGCTTCTTCACGTACGTACATCATCCCGTGGCTTGCACCCCATGTATCACAATTGTCTAGTGCGGACATGCGCTCTCGGTGGCCGCCGAGGAACCGTTCGACGAGCTCATTGCGCAGCTCTCGGCGTACATGGCGTTCCGCGAAGTCGACACGACCCACTCGCGCTTCGTACCCTCCAACAGCTGGGTCGTCCAGCGCGTGCGTCTCAACATGCTCTGCGACCCGGAAGACGACGACGTGCTGGGCGTCGCCAAGGTACGCCATCCTGTGTCTTTGTAATGACACGCATGGCAATGCAGGCGCTGGACCCGCTGGCGGCCACGTGGACGGCGGTCGAGCAGCTCGTGGCCGGCCTCTCGCGGGACTCGACCAAGTCGGACGTGGCGCTCTACAATCCGTCGCAATCGTCGTGGAAGGTCCACGCGCTCATGTACCCGCAGCAGTTTTTCATGACGGTCATCAAAAACACGGTGCCCTTTGCGCTGCCGGCGTCGGCCTTTCCGTTCACGCTCGAGCTGGCTGCCGTACTCGCGTCGTTGTGTCTACCTGCTCTTTCTCATCGCAAGATGTTTTGTAGATCCATGCCAAGAAGCTGCCCTCGTACTCGGTCGTGTTTCGCATTCTCAACGACGAGAGCGGCCCGATCGGTGTCGCGATTGCCCAAATGCACCTGCCGTCGTACCTCGTCGCCCGGAGCTACTTTGAAGACATTCTCAAGGTACGTTTTTTGTATCAATGTATCGATCGATCCCACGCGCCTTATGATGCAGGCGTTTGCGCCGTCGGTGGCCGAGACGTCCAAGCAACTCTTGACGTGTGCGCACTGGCTCAACGCGCGCTTGGAGAATGTCCAAGCCGAGTTCATTTTGGTCGAGACGCTCCTCGTGCACATTTTGCAGCACCGCGATGTGCCGTTTGGCGGCGCCGTCCTCTACCAGATGCTCAAGCAGGACGCGAAAACGATCCAGAGCGCACTCGCGATCCTCATGGAGCTCCTCTTTCGCCAGATCCCGACCATGCAGATGGGCACGCTGGACGTGTTTGTGCGCTTCTTCTCGCTCTTCCTCTCCAATTTCGAGTACAAGTGGCCGTGGGCCCATTGGAACTATGTGCTCGACGCGCAAGCCGACGACGCGCAGCGCCTCTTTGTCTCGGCCGTCCTCGAGCGCTGCGTGCGCCTGAGCTACCGCCAGCACATGCAGTCGGTGCTCCCCGAGGCGTTCCACATGCTGCTGCCGCCAACCCGCTCCACATCATCCGGTTTCGCCAAGACGAAGCGGGTGCGTTTGAGGCCAACATGAACGCGACGCTCCAGGACGTGTACGAGGAATTTTGGCCAAGATCAAGGCGCGCGATGACGCCGCGGTCATCGAGGCGTGGTGCAACGAGAAGACGTCGTCGCTCGACAAGGCGATCGTGCTGGAGATGGTCGTCTCGGCGCTCCTCGAAGCCGGCTCGGCCACGTTTACGCATTTTCGAAGCCTCTTGGAAAAGTACCAAGAGCTCCTGGCCACCCTCACGGCGTCGACGGAAGATGCGCTCGCAGCCATCAACGCGGTCGGCGCGGTCTGGGAGCAGTCGCCGCAGCACGTGATTCTCATCTTGAGCCTCATGATGCGCCACAAGGTGCTCTCGTCGACCGCGATCTCGACGTGGATGTTTAGCTCGGACGCTGTGCAGCAGTACAGCTGGTGCGTCGTTTAGTGTCAAGGACGATTTGATGCGATATGATGGTGTAGGCACTATGTGTGGGAGATTCTCGACAACTCGATCGTCTACGGCATTGAGCGCGTCGAGGCCAACCCGGAGGACGCGGCGGCACTCGACGACCTCCAATCGATGCTCCGTGCCGTCCTCGAGGTGCCTTGCATCCCTCGCGATTCCACTCTCTCACGACGACGATGGCGTTTAGGGCTTTATGAAGGTGGTGGCGGACCACAAGTTTTCGTGCGACAAGGAAGGCACGTCGTTCAAGGACAACTGGTACACCAGCACGCTCGCACGCATGAAGGCTGTCGGCCGGCGCTTCCGCGTCGCGCTGGAGCCGCTTCTGCCGTCGCTGGAAACTGGCGTGTTTGCTGCGGCTGGTGCCGAGCAGGATGTGTGCACGGTCTTCCACTACATCAAAGAGTCGTATCAGGCCAAGTAGGCGCGTCCACCTCCAACTATCAACAACCATCTATCAACTAAGAGCTGCAGCAGCTTATATAACAACGGCGACTTAAGACTTTTCCGTGTCGACGTTGGCGTTGAGAAAGCTCACGTTCACGGGCCGCGGCGCGTGCTTGATCAGACTGGCCACTTGGCTTGTCGACAGCGCCTGCGTCGACTGCCCATTCACCGTGACGAGCTGCGCGCCAATTTGGACGCGGCCGTCGGTTTCGACCTCGCCCTTGGCGCCGACCCGTTCGGAAGGAAACTCGTGACGATCGGAAACTGGTTGGGCTCAATGTTGGCGAGCGAGAGCTGCAGTGACGCCTTGTGCACGAGCACGTGAATACGCCGCGGCCGGCGCGCGCGGCTGCCGATCAAATCCGTCTCCTTTGGGCTCGCCTCGGATGACGACGACGGCGCGTCACGAGGCTTGGACGTTAGCGGCAGCTTCTTCGTGCTCGGACTCTCGGTCGCGACCAGTCGGGTCTAGTGGCGAAGCGTTGAGAAAACCATTTTGTGCATCACGTGTACGTACGTCCGCTGACAGCTTGAGTTTCTTGGGGCCACTGGGCTGCTCCACAATGGCCTTGCCAGACACGGTGTCGGTGGCCGGACGCTTCTTTGTCGCGCTCGACGGTGACGGTGATTTCTCGGCCTTGATGGACGGCTCGTCCGCGCCCTAATACAGAGTGGAGAGGCGACTCTCATAAAAAGTGACCGTACCGACGTGTCACGGGACACCGCTTTCTCTTCCTTCGTCGCGTTGGGCGTTGGGGTGGCGGTAGGTGGAGACGGCGACGCAGCGGTGGCGCACTGACTTGGTGTTGTCGTTGGCGGTCGTTCTTCCTCGTCGGAATCGTCGTCCGACGACACCTCTGAAATCGTTTCGTACGACGACACGTCGTCGGCCTCGGCGCTTTGGTCTCCCGTCCCGTCCGAATCTACCAAGTCCGAGTCGTCGTCCGAGGTCATGAACGCTTCTAAGACCCCACCGACGACAGCCGCAATGACTGACGAGCTAAGCGGTTCGTGGCGCGCAATCGGTGCTGACGCAGTCGTCGCCGGGGGAGGAGGAGGTGGATTGATAGGCGCCGCCGTCGGCTTGACCGTCGTTGTTGTTGGCGTGACAGCCGGTGCCGATGTCGTTGGCTTGACAGTCGTTGCTGTTGGCTTGACAGGCGGTGTCGGCGTTGGTGTCGTTGGCTTGACCGTCGTTGTTGCTGGCGTGACAGTCGGTGTCGGTGTCGTTGGCTTGACAGTCGTTGCTGTTGGCTTGACAGGCGGTGTCGGTGTCGTTGGCTTGGCTGCGGACGGCGGCACGACCGACGCTGCGACAGCAGTTGTCGTCAACGGTAGCTGCGTGACGGCCTCGACGGTTGGCTCGGGTGTCGGCTTGGCAGGCGGGATCGGTTTCGGTGCCGCGGCCTTGGCTTGTATCGGTACCTTGAGCGTCGGGAGGCGCGCTGCGTTTTGTGCGAGGTTCGTCGGTGGCGCCTCGGTAGCGGCGGCCTTCTTGGACTTGGGCTTCCGGAACGAAAGCGTGAGTGGTCGAGTGCACGCGTTGATCATGCGCGCGACCTCCTCGACAGGTCGCCCGCGGATGGGCACGCCGTTGATGGCGACCAGGATGTCGAGCTTGGCGATGGCTTTTGTTGCCTTGGCCTCGCCCGGCTGGCCGTCGTCCGTGTTGAGGAGGTCATTTACAATCACGTTCGTGCCCTTCTGCCCGAGCGCAACGTAGATCGAGCGGCCCCAGAACTTGACGTTGGTCACTGCGTCTGGCGCGATGGACGGCGCTTGGTGCGCGGTGACAGCTTCCGCCGAGTAGATGGCCAGGTCCTCGAGGCGTACGGTGCGCTCGGTGGGCATCTGCAAAAGTGCACTGTGTGAGATCGTCCCATCGTTTCAATCGAGCGTACCGCCGGTGCGAGTTCGAGGAGCAAGTCGAGTTTCTTCATGTAGTCGTAGTCGCCGTCCTCAAAGTTGAGGCGGTAGACCTTCTCGCCGTCCTCGATCGTGGACGACGCGACCGTCACAAGGTACAGCTCGTCGTTGTCGTACGTCTTGTAGAACTGGACGCCAAGAAGGAGGTCGGGTACTTTCTCGAGGACGACGAGCAGCTCGACGTGCGACGTGCGCGTCGTCGGCGCGTCGTGCGTCCACTTGATCTTGACGAGCCCGCTCTCTTTGTAGTCGGCGCTGTAGAGGCTCACGCCGTCGGTGGAGCAGATCTTGCCCGTTTGGCCTTGATCGAATGTGATATGCATGCCTGCCGCCAGCATGAGTCTACGCGATGGGTACAGGCGATGTACTACCGTCCAGCTGCATGCGCTTGGCTCGGATCGCGTGCTCGGCCGAAACGACGACCGTCGACGCGTCCGGTAGCTTGAGCTTGTAGCTGACGTTCTTGACAAAGGCCGCGAGGACGCCGGCGACGCCGCCGCTCGAGAGCTGCGTGCCCACGAGGTGGTCGTACCACGTGCTGATGGCCGACATGGTGCTGGCTGGCCGATCACAACTGGCCAAGTCCGGGAATTGCTCCGGGTTTTTCCGTCCAATCAATCGAAAGCTATTTTTTGTTCACGATGTGGAAGCCCGGGACCGCCAAGCCGACCGAGGCCAAGCCGGTGGCCGCCAAGACGCCGGTCGCCGAGGCCAAGAAGGCGTCCGCCGAGGCCAAGAAGTCTGCAGCGCCCAAGGCGCCCAAGCCAACGCTGTCGCAAAACACGCTCGCCATGAAGGTACACACCGCCGAGGATCCGATGAGGACGATGCTTGACAGCGTGCGATCCACTAGTTTATGCAGCGCAAGAACACGGCTGCGGTCGTCCAAGAGGTCAAGAAGCCGGACGACGATGACTGGGACATGGACGGCGACGCTGCCGCCACGGACGGCAAGTACGTACGACGAGTCTTGACATCAGTCGGCTCATGCGTTGCGACAGGCTCGTGGTCATCAAAGACCCCTCTGACCCGGCAATTGAGAAGCAGCTTGGCCGGCGGTCGTTTGGCGGCTTTAACGCTGCGGTCGAGGTAGGCTGCGACGACTGGCGTCCGGCGTGAGCATCATGTATTCCTGTAGGAGGAGCTCAAGGCGGCGACGTCGCAGCGCCGGCACTCGGAAGCCAACAAGCGCGCGCTTAAAGAGGAGGTGTCGGCCGAAGAGATGGCAGACCGGTACGTCGTTGCCATCGATCGCGACGCGCTTCATATCCGATGGTGCTAGCATGATCAAATACACGGGGCTGCGGAATAACGGCGCCGGCAACCAGCGGGATCGCCCGAAGAAGCGACAGAAGAAGGCATAGTGGTCCCCTCTATAGTATTGCCACCGACTAGAGCATAAGCGCGTTCAATATGACAATATTCGATATTATAGAGGTATAAATAGCGTCGTGGCGCTAAATTCGCAGTGGACGTTGTCGATGGAGTTAAAGGCGTCGTCGGTGCGCCAGCTGCCCGAGCTGCCGGCGCGCGACGCGATGGACGTGCTCCAGAAGGTCCACGGCTTTTACCAGGTCAAGAACGAAGACGACTTGCGCCAGTGCATGGAAGGCCTCAACGCCCTCTTCAACCGCGCGCTCGATCTTGAGCTGGACGAGGAACACAAGCCAGCGCCACGAGTCAAGAAAGCACCGCGGCCTGCATCGACATCGACGCCCCGAAGCCCGCGGTCAGCCGCCTACCTCGACCGCGCCGCCGAGATCTTGGCAGCGACCGACCCCCACGCCCTCTCGTCCCTCCTCGAGGTATGAAAACGACATCGACAGCGATCGATGTGCAGCCTTCCTAGTCGCCCGGCATGCGGCACGCGCTCAACGTCACGGGCATTCGGCCCGAGGACTTGGTGCCGAAAACGCACGCGGACTTTGTTCGAGAGCGAGACCGGTGCAGTCATGTGGTAGAGCTCCGAGAGACGATGCAGTGGTTGGTGTAGGGCGTGGACAGTGCCCCCCGAAATCGCTGCGATGCGCTTCAAGCACTATGAAAAGGCCCGGAAAAGCAGCGTCGCGCTCTTGCTGCAAGTCGCCGAGTCGCAGGAGATACCATCGTCGGACGACGCCAAGGACTTTGACCGAGAGCTTGACCACGAGCGCCGGCTTCTTGAAGACATGATCCGCGGTCGTCTTCGCTACGAAAAGGTAAAGGCGCACCGGCCAGGACTTGGCCAAGAACGATGGATGGCAGGTGCTCGAGAAAGAAGCCGAAATGATCCGCCGGAAGCGCGCCAAGTTCCTCGTACCAACGACCCTTGACTTGCGTTGAATCAACGCGCTGCGCAGGTGCAAGAAAATGGCGTCTTTCGCCGCCGCGGCGACGAGCCCCCGGCGTTCAAAGACCACGTGCACGCCGAGCGGTAAACACGCATCAGCGTGGCGCGCGCTCGAGGGTCCGCTGTAGGTCCGAGACCAACCGGCTCAAAATGGAGCGCGTTCGGGCGCAGCGGCAGCTCCTCGAGCAGGTAGCGCCGGCTTAACGGTGATGACGATTACGCTCGGGTGCTAGACCAAGCAAGAGAACGCCGATGCGCGCCGGCGCTACGAGCAGTCGCGCGCCACGCAGACGAAGAAGGAGAAGGACGACCAGCTCAAGCTCAAACGCGTCCTTGGCGACGAGCGTGAGCGCAAGCGGCTCCAGGTACAGTGCCGTCCATTGCTATTGCCATCGTGACGATGGCGTGTCATGCAGGTCATCGAAGACGCGCGCGAGCTCGACCGGCAGCGGCGCGAATGCATCGAGCTCGCTGTCCACGAAAGGGTTCGCCACGCTTTTCTCGCGTCGAGGTTCAACTGGAGAGCGTAGGAAGCGCACTTGGACGCGATACGGAAGCGGGCGCTGCATAGCAACATGCAACATGCTCGCGATCGAGGTACTCGACGTGCCATCGCTTTCGTCACATGGCGTCTAGCGCAAGCGTCTCGCGCAGCACGCGCGCGAGGTGACGGTCCAGCGAGCCAAGAAGATTCAGTCGTTCAAGACGGACGAAGCGAGCAAGAAGCTCCACGCGACGACCGAGCGCGTTGACAACCTCAAGGTACGCAGAATATGCCGCTGCGAATCCAAGAGCCATTTGGCCGTAGGAGATCCGCCGCGCGATCCTCCAAGAGCGCAATCGCATCCACGTGCTCACGCGGAGTCGCAAAGCGCACTGCAAAAGCCTCCGCGACGAAATCGACGTGCTGCCGGTACACCTTTTCTTGATACATTGATAGAAAACTGCGCCACAACATCAAAAAGGGGCCGGGCGAGTACAGCGTGCGATGGGCCGACCACACGCACGGAGGGTACATTGGCCGCGCGGTGTCGGTCGATACTGTCCCGCGCACACCGGTGCGCCGGTCCGTGAGCTTGAATATGGTTGCCTCACAATCGCGCAGGGACCGGGTGCGTACGATGAGCTCGGTACGATCGCCGACGCGATGCGAACGTCCGGCCACGCATTTCCCAAGAGCCGGTCGCTCGAGACGCTCGAGGGCCCACCGACACCGTCAGTTTGCATTTCACTGCACCGATAACTTATGTGTGCTTAGTGGCCCGGGACAGTACATGGATCCGCTCCGACCACAAAAGGCGCTAGGGCCGTCTTTTCCACTTGCGACGCTCTCGCCGTTTGACTTGAGCTTGCGCCATGCCGCCGAGCTGCCGGTATGCAACCAACCATTCAATCGATGATGATTGAGCTGCGATTGTGCAGGCCCCGTGCGACTACTCGGCCACGACCGGGTCGCCGGCGCACTCCAAGGCGACCAAGGTCTTCAAGCGGTCGCTGCATGCAATGACGTCGTCGTACCTCCATGCGTGCAAGGGCGCGGGTGACGACGTCATGCCGGACAAGGACGGTCTGGCGCTTGAGGCCGACGGAGCTGACAACAACCCTCATTAGTTAGTCGAAGAGTTCGCGTTAGCCAGTAGTCGATTATTTTACTTGACATAAGTGTCTCTTCGTTCGTGGAGGCAAAACATGTCGCAAGTATGCACAATAGGTTAGTTAATTCATACTACTTATTAACTTAACTAAATATTAATACCTCGTAAATATGTATACGTGTAAAGACGCAAGGCGCAATTCAAAATGACAAGTCCAACCACGGAATGTCTTCGGGGTCGTTGAGGGGCGAGAGGGGAACCTCCCACGTGTCGTCGTCGGCGCCAAATAGCATCGATGTGTCAATGACGGTCGGGGCGCTGACGGGCAACTGGATGCCTGTAGGCAGCTTCAGGCAGTTGCGTGAGAGCACAACTGATCGTGGGTCCACGGAGACAGTGGGCCGGGCGTCTGTGGCGGGCTCCGCCTTGATGTCGTCGCCGAAGGTAAGGTCGTCAAGAATAGCGTTGTCGATAACGTCGTTCTCGTCCATCTCTTGCTTCGTAGGCTGCTTGTACGGGATGTGCGTGAAGAACGACATCTCTTGCTTGACGTTGAAGCTCGATTCGACCGGGCTCTTCCAAAGCGGCGGCTTCATGGAGTCAGCGGACCGCGTCGGCACCAAAGTGATGTTGGTGGCGCTGTCTTGGAAGCCGAGACCCGTGCCGTAGATGCTCGCCGCGTGGCTCATGGCCATGTGATGCGGGCGCATCGTCTTCATCATGACCTTGCCCAAGTCGGCTCGGCCGTGCATGTCGACCATCGGCGGCACAACGCAGGGCGCCATGCCCGGCTTCAACGCCGGCGACATATTGTCGTTCAAGAGCATCGACGGGTTCTGCAGTCCTGAGAGTGGTTTGCTCAGCGGGGACGAGCACTGGTCGTCGCGGCCGGGCATACCTGACGCCGTCGGGTTCACGCTGCCCGACGTGTACCCGGGCGCGTCGGTGTCGTAGCGCTGCTTGCTGCTGAGCGGGTCGACCCACGGGTCCTTGGCCTTGCCCGCGCCTCGTCGCTTAATGTTCGGGAGCAGGTCCGGGCGGCCTTGGCGAAAGTGTGTGTGCTGGTAAATGATCGAGCTGCCTTCCGTCACCTTGTAAAAGCTGTAAAAGTTGAGCTGACGGATGAGGCTCGAGAATCGGCCGTGGCGAAAGTACTTGGGCAGGTACGTCTCGGCGAGCACCTTGGGCTGCACGATGCAAAAGGCCGTGCCCTCGCGGATCCACGTCACGACCGAGTCGGGCTCCGTCTCGACCATCGCAAAGAGCTTCGTGACAAAGCTGCCGGTCGCGTTGCCGTTGCCGAGGGCGTCGGCGTCGGCGTCGTAGGCCATGCTACCGTGCATGGTGTTCATCATCATGGTCATCGAGGTCGTCTCGTCCGTCCTCATGGCCGGCGTGTCCATCGTCGTCATCGGGTCTGCTTCTGGGACCTTCGACAAATTCGCAACTGACTCGGATCGTGTATCTTGCCGCAGATCTCCCAAACTGGCCTTTTCGGCGAATAATATTGCGGTCACGAAATATCAACGCGGCCATTATATTATGCAAGATATTAATATAATATTGGACATTCAATACCACCTCTGCACATGGCGCAACTTTTTTTAAAGAAGCCATGGGAGCATCACTCGGGCAATTCGAATTTGAAGCCGCTTGGGCGACCAATCCGATCGTGCCTTGCACGGCGTCACAGGCCATGATTGGTGCATCAACATTGAAGTTGCAATGCGCCGCGCCATGATTGGCCCATTCGAAACCGCGTCATCACGGATTGTGCAATCCAAGGCTGGACCAAGCGCTGGAATTTTTCACGTCTGATCCCCGTGGGACGGCAGGAACTTGACTTGAGTATGCGCGTATTTAAATAGAATGCGCTGCCTTTTCTTGAACTTCAACCTTCGGGGTGTATGTCCCTTTGATGCTTCGGGCATGTTCGAAATAATTTAATACTGACCGCCCCATTTGCATACGAAATCGGCAGTGCGGGCAAGCTCGATGGATTATTATTAACGACTTGATTTCGTCGTTTTATATTTATATTTGAAAACGCGGGAGTTGCACGGGCGGTTTCGAAAAAACGGGCGCAGCTGCCCATACAAAACACAAGAGACGCGGGTTGTTGATGCGCGTCAATGAAAGATATGGTTTTGAGGATACGACGTGAATCTTTTACCCCTCGAGGTCCTTGACCATGTACGGGCCCTCGAGCGTGTACCCGAGCTTGCGGTAGTAGTCGCGCGTGCCCACGCCTATGCAATCGTTCGTCGACATATAAGCGGCCACATGGCGCAGGGAGTAGCCAACGCACCGGAAATCACCACAATTTTGTGCGAACCGTGCTCGTCGCGCGCAATGCGTTCGGCTTCCTCCATGAGGAGCGTCCCGAATCCCTAATGGATATGATCCCATTGGTCAACGTGGGATACGATGGTGCGGTGAACCTGGTGTTGGAACTTGGTCGGGTCACGTGCGTGCAACGGGACGGCCGAGCCGTAGACATGCAGCTCCCGGACGATGGACGTGCCGGGCGGGATCTCAGGTCGAAAAGCAGTTGCACTACAAGACCACGACTGAGTCCACGATGACGCGGTTGAATCTCGCACCTTGCTTGGCGCAATCGAAGGAGGCCGACGAGAATGTCTTGGTCGACGTCTTCGTAGGCGAGGAAAGTCTCCCACCTGCGACTGATGAGCACCCAAATCAATACTTGAACGGTGCTTGAAGTACCCTCCGTTGGCGACGTAGTCCCGCCGGATGAGCTCGACGTGATCCGGTGCCACCTGGTCGTGGATGCCCTTCATGCCAACCTCGCGCGTCCGCACGTCGCGGCAGGCGAGGCCCTAATGGCACGCCTGGTCTCAGACTCAGATCTTATGGTACACCGCGGCGTACGAGGTCCTTCATGCGCGCCAGTGCGAGCTCGCGCAAGTTGCCGTTCTCGACGCCCGACGTCACGAGCGGCATGGGGATGTCGCGCTGAATGCGGTACACGCGCGTCCAGGGCGGCACGAGCGCAAGCAGCCGCGCCATCAGATCCACGAGCTCGTTGGGCGAGTAGTTCTACTCGCAATGTGGACACAGATACCAACGTGCAGCTGTCGTACCTTGTACTGGCCTGTTTTCCAGAGCTCGTACAGGCCTGTCCCGCGGATCACCAGCGTCGGATAGATCTTGAGGCCGTCCGTCCGGAACAGCGGGTTCTCAAAGTACTCTTTGAAGCCATTGAGATCCCGCTCCATGCCTGCAGAAGAGCGTAGTGAATGCGTGGGCGACCAATAGTGCATATCGTACCCATGTTGGGCAAATCGGGCATCATGTGCGCGACGATCTTGTACCCGCAGTCTTTGGCGAGCTGGAACGAGTGGCACACCTACCCCACGACTTAGTAGTCGATCGCACGGTCGATGCATGTACCGCAGCGACAGTGTGACCGCGGTTCGAGTCGCGTGCCACGTCCTCGTAAATGCTCTGGACACCAATCTCGATCCGCGTGCAGCCGTACGCGAGCATGTCGTTCAGATGCGGCTTCAAGCAGTAGTCGGGCCGCGTCTCAATCGTGATCGCCGTGCACTAATGTCGTGTGTGTCTGAGGTCGGCGCGGCGTCTGTGGTGATTGCGTTACTTGGTTTGGCTCTGCGCCGAGTACCGGACAGCCTCGGCAACGGATGCCGACGTGTGGCCCGAGAGCGCATCGTGGAGATTCCGAATAAAGTAGTCGCGGTACTCCTTGTCGAGCGAGAGAAACGTGCCACCCATCACGATGAATTCAACCTGATCGCGTTGTGGATGGTGACGAACGATGGCGGTGACGCACCTGTCGACGTTGTGGCCGAGGCGCCGGAGCTGGTCAACGCGTGTCTTGGTTTGCACGTACGGGTTGTAGCGAGCACGAATCGCGCGCATGCTCGTCGGCTCGTACCCCGTGTACGCCTGTACGTGCAGCATAGTAATTCATCGGCGCAAGAGGATCTGGCAACCTGTGTCGAGTACTCAAAATCCGAGTCTGGCCCGCCCGGGCAGTAGACGCAGATGTTGCCCGTCATCGCAATGTGCGGGCACCGGTGCGGCTTGCACATGACGGCCTACGCTCATGTTGAAACGACGAGACAGGCGAAGGAAGCGCGCGTCGTACGACGACGGCAATGCCGGACGCGGTGCGCACGGGCTTGGCCTTCAAGAACGGCAGTAGCTCTTCCTTGTACTCTTCCGGAATGGCCGAGATGATGTCCACCAGCTATAGCCATCGATGCAGATCGCAGAGGAAGCACTCGCCAGCGTCGTACCTTGGGCATGGACGGCAGGCGATACCCCTTGGCGACGTCGTTCTTGAGCCGCGTCATGTTGACCGGCTCCTGCTTCTCATAGGCCTTGATGATCTCTTCCACGATGGACGAGATCGCCTTGACGTACGTCTCCGAGTCGACGCCTACGACGCTTCAGACACACGCCATGCGCTCGACGAGGTACCCGCGTTGCTGCTCATCACGTCCGTGTCGTCCGTGATTGGTGCAGGCGGCGTATCTACGGAACCGGTCTCTTTAACCGGTTACTCTGTATACGCCGCAATCGGTATCCGGTGGATCCAAATGCTGCAGCCCATGCAGGAGGACACGCGTCCAGGAGACAGCCACGTACGAGCCTTCTTATGAAAGAGGCCAAGGCCCATGCTCGTAGGAAGGAATATGGTCGAGGTCAATGAGGGCAGAAGCGGATTAAGACACGCCGAGTCTCGTGGCGAGAAGGCTTGGGAAGACTGACTGCGTCACTGGCTTCATCCGAGTACCGGTACATGCAGCACAAATGAAAGGTGCACTTTAGCAAGTGTGGCCTGCGGGGTGGCTCTTTGCCGTCGCTGCGATGCTTTAGACCCCCTGTAAAGACTTCGCATGTTGCCATAATCAAGCTTCAAGGTGGTAGACCGGCCACTTGTACTGGACAAGCAAATTTATCCACTGCCAGCTGGGTACACAGCCATAACTCACATTATCCATAGTAGGCGGGCAACGTACCAGTGCAAGAACACCCGGTACATTCCCTTAGGTAGTTGCACCCCTGCGTGTTTCATAGAATCGAATTAGTGTATATTTTGCCGACCGCCACCGATCCCGGGCAGTCCCATCTGCCATCGCCTTCGCATGATGGAGAGACCCAAGTCGGTAGCCCTGCAACTGTCTCCCCAGAGCAACCTACATGGGGCGACTCCGACCGATACCGTCTTCCTGGCCGCGTCGACGCCGCCCCGCGAAGAGGACTTCGTCGGCCCACCTCGGTGCACCCTCGCTTTGAGACGCTCATGCTCATGCGCTCCATGTAGGAGGTCCACCGATCGGGCGTCCATGCGCCATTCGATACAGTCGTACATCGCTGCTGAAGACCTCGACGAGCCGGCCAAGCCCAAGTTCTTCTCCCGCGCGACGCTCATGAAGGTTGTCTACTTCCTCTCCGACGTCGTGTACTCGCTCGCGCTCCTTGGCTGCGGCGTCCTTCGCGCGAACGGTATCTCGTCGATGTACCTCTTCGGGTGGGTCCTTGGCACCATGTACACGTTCAAATCGCGTGTCTTGAGCGTCTTTACGCTCCTCGTGTCGGCCTGCGCGATCGCCGGCCACATCTACGCGGCGGTCTCCTTTACAAAGACATCGTCGCCGCATATCCTCTTTGGTCTCTTTGGCTTTGCGTTCCGCGACGACGCGTGGGACATAACGCTCAACGCAGGCCCGGACGTGCTCATGTTTCTCATCAGCATCCTCCAAGTGTACGTTGTCCAAAAGCAGATTCGCACGGCGCTCCCCGTGGCCACGCTGCAAGCGGCGGCGGCAAGCGTCCGCGGCGACGACGGCATGAGCACCCAGGACGCCCGCTCCAACGTCCGGTGGCGCGAGAACGTCCTTGGCGCGAGTGAGTTTTTCGTGTTTGCTGCGCTCTTTGTCGCGGCCTTTGCGACGACGGGTTTTGTAAGCTTTGTCTACTACCTCTTCTTGCTGCAGCGCCTTGCAGCCTGGACGCTCTTCCCAAAAGCGCTGAGCCTCCAGGAACTCGAAGACGGCGCGTCGCACTACCGGCCATTTTTCGGCGCCAAGACGATCCGCCTCCTGCTTGCGTACTCGATCCTTGTGATTGCGATCTGGTGCGTTCGTCTGCCATGGTGACCTCGTCTCACACCCGAATCTTCTCGTATTCTCTAGTCAAGCGTACCAGTTTCCAGATGTGCACAACTCGAGTATTGGACCCGATCTGGGCAACTACACTGGTCTCTTTGTCATGCCTGGGGTACGTCCTTGGCTTGGTCGTTTGCGTCTAGTGATCGCAAGCGTAGACATCCGCCGACTGGTCGGGGTACGTCTTTTATGCGACGCAGTGTGTCCTCTTCATCGCGGTCGCACGGACGCTGCCTAACTATGCGAAATGGCAAGCGGCGCGCAACGCTTTGCCCCAGACAAACGAAGCGTCGTCGCCGAGCCACCGGTCGAGCTCGCACGCGTCGTTCTACTCGGCGCACGAGTCCCCTCTCGACTCAGCAACGTCGAATCGTCCAGTCCAAGAGCTCCTCTCGCACGAGCCATTCTTTGTGCGCCTCTTCCTCGAAGAGCGTGGGATTCTCTGGGCGACGCTCGCCGCCATCTTTTGGAGCGTGTCGTATCCGTCCTACATGAACGCGGGTCTCTTGGCGATTGCGCTTGTGCTCCTCGCCACGTTCGGCCTCGTCTTGCCGCGGAAGCTCCTCGTCTTTCTCAATGTGTACGCGTTTGGCGTCTCGATCGCAACGGTTGTCTTCTTGCTGCCATTGGACTGGACATCGAAGCTCACGACGCTCTCCAATTTGCACATGATTCAGATCGGCATTGCCACGAGCGAGTTTCCGCTTCTGGACTTGTCCGTGCAGCACCTCTGTGTGCTCGTCATTTGTTGTTGCGTCCGTGTGCGCCTCCAGTATCAGTACATTGTCAAGGAAGTCCGCGTCGAGCGAGAACTGCACGACCTCCAGCACGCGCCGTCGGTGTACGACGACATGATGGCGTCCGGGACGCAGACCCCGGGTCATGCGATTCCCGTGCACGAAAACCTCCAGCTCGTACGTCTTGTGTGCTCCATCAACCTATATAGGGAACTTATATGTTCGCCGTAGCACCGCATGCGGTCGGTCGAAGTCACAAAGCTCTGGATCAAGGATGCGCAGAGCATCTTCATCGCGTCGCTTGACATGACGGTGCTCTTTACCATCTTTGGTAAGGCGTCGACTTCAAAGTGCTTGGAGATGACAGCATATTGCTCTAGTGACGGTCCTGAGTACGTCCGTGACGATCCTCCAGACAGGCTACTTGGCGCTCGCGACGTTTCTCTCGGTCTTTCAGCGCTTCCGGCGCCAACTCTGGCGCGCGCTGCTCGTATACGCGCTCGTCGTGTGCCTCGCCATGTACAGCTGGAACGTCGTGTGTCCCCAGAGCGTGGACAAGACCCGGTTTGACACGATTGGCCTCACGTGCTTCAGGACGTACCCGCGCAGCAACTGGGCCGCGCTGTGGCCGACGCTCTTCTCGGCGCAGCTCTTCCTCATCTTCCAGGTCGTGCTCCAGCTCTGCATTTACCTGCGCACGGACAATGGCGCGGACGAGCGCGCGCGCATGCTTGCACAGGCCAACCGTCGTCCAATCTACTTTGTGTCGCGCCTCGCGCGCGAAGTCGACCACATTTTTCGCGTCCTCGGCATCGCCGTGGCGTACATTGGCTTTGTCGTTGTCGCCTTCGTGTACGAGGTCAACGATGCCGGTCACTTCACGCTCGTGGGCTTGATCCAAGTGCTCTTGCTGTTTACGCTTCTCGGGTCGCACCTCTCGACGGTCGTGCAGTGTCCGCGCGGCAACTCGCTCAAGACGCAGCGGCAGTGGCGCCTCGTGCTCGCATACGAGGCGTTCGTGCTTGTCACGCGGTACCTCTACCAGTTCCAGGGCATCGCGTCGTGGGTCCAAGGCCAGTGGCCCGACAGCGCGAGCCGCGTCATTTCGATCCGAGACGTGGGGTACGTCCAGTACGCGTCGACGGAGCGCCTCTCGGGGCTCTTCATGTACCTCTTCCCGACCGCCTGCGTACGTAGATTGCTTGCTCTGGCTCTGCTGATCTATCCGTTTGTCTTCTAGCTCGCGGGCCTTGTGACATGGAACCTGGCGTCGATGCGCAAGAAGCTGCACAACTATGACGTGCTCGTGCGCGGTCGCAGCAACTGGATGGACAGCTTTTGCACGTTCCTCGAGCTCTGCCAGCGCATGGTCTACTTCAACAGCCCGATCGTGCTCCTTGTCGTCAACATGGCGATCGTCTGTAGCAACATTTCGGCGTTCAACATCACGTACCTTGGCGTGCTCATTGTTACGCTCGGCCGGCCGCAGTGGACGCACTGCTGGAAGCCCATCTTTTGGCTCTCGTCAGTCTTTACGCTGTGCCTCTACGCGTTCCAGTTTGAAGCGTTCCAGCCCGCCAAGCTCGAGGTGTTTGTCGGTGGGCATGCTGCCGACGCATTTGAGCACAGCGCCGTCTGGTTTGGTCTTGCGCGCATTGCGACAAGCGCGACGAACCGCACGGTCACGGAATCGATCACGGCGGCGGCCGCGTCGTCCGACTCGTGGAACGCCGGCGACGCCACGTATCCGTCCATGTGGGCGCTCACGGGCGAGCACATGCTCGTGCTGCTGCTCTGCATCATTACGCGCGTGTCGCACTTTTGGGATCCGCTCAAGGACGTGCCGGCGCCGGCCGTGAAGCGCCAGTCGTCGCTCGCGTCCGAGCCGTGGGCACCCGTGGGCATGGCGGATGAGACGCCGTTTCTCGAGTCGCTGCAGTCGTTCCTTGTGCGCTTTACAAGCGAGGGCTCGGTCATTCTGACGATGCTTCTCCTCCTTGTCTCGTCGTTCATCCACCGCAACATCATCTCGGTCGTGTACATGCTGGTCGTCCGCGCGATCATGGTCGCGTCGCCGCTGACCGTGTGCATTCGCTGGTACCTCATCGCGGGCCTCGTCGTCTTTGTGTGCGTCTCGCAGTACTTTATCATGCTCTGGGTGCCGCCGTTCCTCAACTGGCACCGCGAGTCGCTCCCGCCGTGGACGTGGTGCACGCCCGCGTACGAGTACTTTTTTGCGTTGCACTACCAGCACCGGTGGGCACTCTTCTGCGACTACCTCGTGCTCCTCGTGACGTTTATGATCCCGGCCGCCAAGCCCTACTACCTCGCCAAGCACGGCAAGAACCTCGGCGACACGCCGCGCCAAGACATCTCGCTTCTTGAGCCGGCCGAGGCCAAGGGCGATGAGGATTATACGCCAATTGTCGTACAGCCTGGCTACGACGTCGACGACTTCACGGTCACAAACGCCGCCAACACGACGCTGTGGCAGCTGTGCCTCTTTGTCGTGATGAACTTTTGGATCTTTGCGCTGCTGATCGTCGTTTTCATCACGGGCTGCGTCCGGTCTGGGATTGCGTCCGGTATCTACCTCGGCTTCTCGATCTACATGCTGCTGCACGTCCAGCGCGTCGGATCGCCCGGTGACAAGCTCCTGCGCTGGTTGCGCGACTTTACGTGGTTCTACATGTTTGCGAGCATTCTCTTTCAGTTGCCGTTCTTTACGGACAAGACGGTCACGTGCGCCCTTGGCACCAACGACCCGCAAGATGGCGTGTGCCTCAGCATCCCGTCCATCTTCGACTTGAACAAGTACCCTGTGTCGTACCCGGGCGCACCGCCGTACTTTGCGTCGCTGCCCGTGCTCTCGGTCGTCATTTTCTGGATGATCAACATCCAAGAGCTCATTTTTCAGTCGCCGCTCTACGCGTACATCCACGCGCACACACAGCGCGAGGAAGATTTGAGCGACCTCCGCCGCAGCCGCCTCACGGACGCGGTATTGGACGCGACAGGATAAAGGCATCGCTCACGTGTGTCATTGTAGATTCTCAAGGAGCGGCTCGTGCGCTGGACGGCGCTCAAGCAGGACAAGGCTGCGGCCATCGTGCGTCTCAAGTCGATCGTATCCCGGCTCGTCAACAAGGTCGAGGAGATGATGGACATTGCGATGGGACTCAACTACAGCCTGCCACCGAGCGCGCCAGAGAAGCCGTTTGTGCAACCCGACGAAGCGACGCAGAACTCGATCACGCTGCACTGGAAAGCCCCGGAAGCGCCCATCCACCGCATCCGAGCGTACAAGGTCACGCGGCAGGTAACATTCGTGTGCTCTTCTGATCAACAAACAACAACAGCATGACCTAGATGTACCCAACGTCGACGCTTTTGGGTGACTACTCGGACCCGATCGAGGTCGCCGCGAGTGCCGGAACGAGCCTTGTGGTCGAGGGCCTCCGGCCCGGTGCTGCGTACCAGTTCAAGGTCGCCGCCATCAGTCGCATGGGCGAAGGGCCGTTTAGCGCACCGAGCGAGCCGGCGCGGACGATCTCACTCAACTGGGGCGGGTTGTGCCTCGCAGGCTGGGTGCACTATACAAAAGCAGCGCTGCCAAAGCGCTGGTACGCCTCGTTGTGGTCGCCCAAGCCTATCGTGCGCTACATCGTTGTCGACACGCACGCCTTTGTGTGGTACAAGAGCGAGAACGTGGCGCTCAAGCACCGGAGCACGAAGAAGCGCAAGCGCATGAAGACGTCGTTTCTAATGCGCAACGTGCTCTCGATGGACCTCTCGGAGGAGCCGATTCGCCTCGACGACAACTCGAGCCCGATCCACACGCTCGACGTCGTCGCGACGCTGCGCAACTCGAACGCGCAAGTCCAGTACAGCTTTCACCTTGAGCGCGCCGACGATTTCGACAAGTGGGCCGCGGCGCTCGGACAAATGCTGCCGCGCGACGTGCTCAGCGACCGCTTCCTTGCGTATTTGGAGCTCCACGGACTCCCGATGCCGTTGGAGGCCGACGAGAACGACGAAGACGAGGTCGAAGACGGCGCCAAGAACGCTGGCGGAAGCGAGTGGAGCAGTGTCACGGGCGACGAGAGCTGGCTCGGGGACGCCGAGGACGAAGAAATGGCCAAGCGCCCGACGTATGGCTGGATCTGGCTCAAGATCTACCAAGCCCTCTACGTACGCTTGTTACTCGATGTATCTGCTCGTGATGACCAATTTTACACGTACGTAGAACGCCCAAGACGCGGCGCTGCGACAGGAGCACCAGTTGTACGAGGATGACGACGAGATTCTCCCGTCGTTCCTCGAGACGCTCTTCGTGCTCATCAACGCGATCCGAAGCCACTCGCGGGACATTTGCTGCCTCACGTTCATGTGCAGCTTCATGTTCCAGGTGCGTCAACCCGCGTCTATGACCAACGTCATAACCAAGGTGTAGGGCGACTTGCTCAATGCGTTCTACGTGCTCGCAACCTTTGGCTTTGTTCTGCTCGAGAACCCGCGGCCGCACTCTGGCGCGTGGCACTTCTTCCTCGTTTACGTACGTCCAATTTGATTTGAGATCTTGTTGTCATGCATCTCGTCTAGTCGTTTGTCGTCGTCTCGCTGCGCTACTCTTTCCAGCTGCCCTTCTTTTGCCAGCAGTTTACAAAGAAGAACGTCTTGTACCCGAGCATCCAGCCGTTCTGCCCCACGGATCTGAGTGTCTTTACGAGCGGCCAGCTCAACCCGATCCAGCCCATGGTCATCTTTGGCTTGTACAAATTTGACGGCACGGCGAATCCGCACGTCGATACGATGCTCCGCGGCGTCGCGTGGAACTTCATCGTGATTCTCGCGATCCTTTTCCATCGCCGCGAGCTCCAGCTGCGCGGCATGTGGTACGCAGGCGTGTCGAGCGATGCGGCGGACGACAAGAACCCGCAGCAATCGATCATGGGCCGGCAGTCGACGCGTATGTCGACGCGCCGCGGCAGCAACCTCTCGGTCGACTCGCTCGACCTGGACGATTACGAGGTCGCCGACTTTCTCGCGCGGCACGAACAAGCCAAACGCGCGACCGAGCCGACCGAGCTGCCGCGCCGCCGCGTCCTGCCCAAGTCGCAGCGCGTCGCGTTCCAAGACAGCGATTCGCCGCGGTCGCTCGACGCAGAGCTCGATGCGACCGCCGACGAGGTGAACGACGCGTCGCCACCGCTCGCACCGACGTCGCCGCAACATGCACAGCAGTTGGTGGTGGCGCCGCTTCCGAGCGCGTTGGCGCCCGAGCCCGAGCACCGCAGCCTCGTCAAGAAGAACAAGGCGCTCGAGTGGTGCAAAGCGCACGTTCCGAGCGGCGTGGTGCAGTTTTGCCGGCGCGTCATTTCGCCTGCGCCCGAGCACTGGGACCGGAATATCAACAAGGCGATCACGGGTGTCAAGCCGGGTCGCGACTACTATCTGCTGCTGCTCTTCCTCCCGCTTGTCTCGATTGTCTACGTCATCTTGCTCTTCCAGTACTTTGGCGAGCCCAACACGAGCAGCGACAGCTTCTCGCTGCAGCTCAGCGACTCGATGCTCAACGGGTACATGGTGCTGATTGTGTTTTGCGAGCTCGTCGTGATGATTTGGGACCGCGCCGCGTACGTCTATGGCTCGATGATCTCCAAGATGGTGCTGCACTTCGTCTTCCTGCTCGCTGTCCATATCGGGCTCTGGATTCTGCTCCCCATGTACTCGCAGTCGTACTTCCAGACGCGACTCGGGCTCCAAGGCCTCTACTTGCTCCAGTGCTTTTACCTCTGGACGTCGGCGCAGCAGCTCAAGTACGGGTACCTCGTCTTCCGCGGGCACCACTTTGTGAAAAAGCCGGGCGCGGACGTGACGGTGTCGATGCTCGTGATTGAAAAGTGCTTCAAGATCTACTACGCCGTGCCGTTTGCGTTTGAGATCCGGTGCCTCCTCGACTGGATCTGCTCGACGACAGCGCTCGACATGGAAATGTGGTTCCTCCTCGAAGAAATTGCAGCCGAAATGTACCTCGTGCGCCAAGAAATGAACGGCCGCATCGACAATGCCGACTTTCTCCAAGGCAACAAGCGCCAGCCGCTCTTCTTCAAGCTCCTCAAAGGCGGCATCCTCCTCCTCTTGTTGCTCGTCTGCGTCATCGGACCGCTCGCCATCTTCTCGACAGCCAACCCGTCGACGTCTGCGAATCCGATCACGGCGACAACAGTCTCGTTTGGCCTCCAGCAGCTCGACGGGACGGTCCAGCAGCTGTATGCGAGCGGGGACACCAACAGCCCTGCGTACGCGGGCCTTCAGATCACATCGACTGACACGGCGACGCAGAAGATCGCGTTCGCCTCCTACTCGCAAAACATTTGGACAAGCACGCCGCCGATGCGTCGGAACCTCGTCGCCCAAATCAACTCGACCGAGCCGATCAAGTGGCTCCTGAGCTTGACGTTTACGCGGTCGGGCCCAGACGGCAAGCAGACCGTATCGTTGACGTTTGACCAGATGATGACGCCGGCGCATCGAACGCAGTTCATCTCGGTGCTGCTTGCCGACGGCTCGACCGCCGACCCGGTGAAAGGCAATTCGTCGTCCAACGTCACGGGGCTCTCGCCGCACTCTGGCGCCTCGATTGCAGTCGACGCTGACACGATCACGGCGCCACCGATCGTCATCGCGCAGTTTTACACGCCCGTGCTCAAGGTCGGCGCCACGAGCGACCCGGTCGCGCGCGGTAGCTTTGTTAAGCGGTCGATCTTGCTCCAGCGCAACTCAGAGGACGGCGTGAGTTGGTGGGCTGTCTCGTCGCCCGACGACGTTGCGTACGGCTCGCTCGACGTCGGTGACGCGGCGCGCGTGTCGTGTGCGGACCCGCTCTCGCCCATGAAGGATGGTCTCTGCCTCGTGACGGTCTCGGACAACATTGTCAATGGACTCACGAGCCTCGGGATCGGCACGTATGGCATTACGGCCGCGTACATTTTCGTCATCTTTACCATCGGCGGCTTTGTCAAGAACGCGTTTCGTGGCGAGCTCTACAAGGTGCTCTACAAGGAGCTGCCCAACCCCAACGAACTCCTCGAGCTCGTCGAGGTGCGTTCAAAATGCATCTTGGCGTGTCTCATGTTGGCCATTAGGGCGTCTACATTGCGCGCAAGGAAGACTACCTCGGTCATCTCAAGGTACAGGCAACAGACCTTATAGGTTGGCATTCATAGTCGTGTACAGGACGAAGGCCGGTTGTACGAGACGCTCATTCGCGTACTTCGGTCGCCCGAGACGCTGCTCAAGGTCACGGGACCGAACGTGATCCACATTCCTGTGCCCAAGGACAAGATTGACTAGCCTGTATACCTTTTCTGCATATAAATAGAGATCGATTGACTGTCGGGTGTATTTTGGATCTTGAAGAGACGCAAGATGGTGCTCGCTCAAGATGAGATCGATGCGTGTCGCGAGGCCTTCCTCGCGTTCGACAAGGACCGGTGCTGCACTCCATCGTCAGCCTGTCGTGAAGCTGCTGCGTAGGAGTGGCACGATCGATGTGTGGGAGCTGCGCCAGGTGCTCGAAGGTACATTTCTTGCGACACGAGCGTCTTCTGACACGAGAGCATGCAGCCATGGGGCAGCAGCCGACCGAAGAAGAGCTCTTTCAGATGATCAGCGAGGTCGACGAAGACATGAGCGGCGCGATTGGTGCAACAAGAGATGGCTGCTGGCAGCTGAGCGTGCGCGTAGATTTTGCCGAGTTTCTGCAAGTGATTGACAACCAGAAGGACCGCGCCGCCATGTACAACGACGAGAGCGACATGAGTAGGAGGATCCGACTCGGTGTCAACACCTGCGAATGCGAATGTCTAGTCGACGCCTTTGTCGCGTGCGGCGGCAAGCCCGACAAGACCGGTGTCGTCAAGCGCGATACGCTTGTCAAGATTATCAAGGTCGACTTTGGCTTGACCATCAACATCGAGGTACGTGGCGACGTCGACCGGAGCTCATCCGAGCATGGCAGGAAATGATCAACAAGCTCGACGTCGATCAAAGCGGCGAGATTGAGTTTGCAGAATTTAAAGCCATCTTGACGTGATAATGCAACAAGCAAGTTATCATGGTAAACCGACAAGGACATGGATTAAAACGTACGACAAGATGGGGCTATCTATTTCACGTGCTTGACTTTCGGACCCGTCGGCGTCTCGGGCTTGGTCGCGTACACGAACAAGCTGTTGCGCACAGCAACTGCGACCTCGTTCTGCGTCGGGTGCCACGTCGTCTGGAGCACTTTGGCCTTGTAGTCAAGCGGTTCGGCCTCGGCGCCGGCCGCAAGCGCCCGCGCAATCGCATTGTGCGGCGCAGACGAGCGTCGTCGACCGGCGTGGACCATTGGATTGAGGCAGTAGTCCGACCGGCCGTACCGGTCGTAAATGTGAAACTCGCTGTTGTACGAGCCCGTGATAAAGTTGTTGCCGTCGCCGCTCACGGAGCACTCAAACTTGTCAAAGATGCTGTCCGTGTCGTAGAGCTCGCAGAGTCGCGGACGTAAATGCTCGTGGATCTATTGGTATCGCAGTGGGTTTTTTGTGCCAACGTAGAAATCACGTACGTTGATCGTCTGGACAGGTCGTGCCTCCATGTTGACATCCCAGATCTTGAGAGTGAGGTAGTCGCGCGAAATGATGTAGCGGCCGTCGGGCGAGAACTTAATGTCGGAAATGGACGCGATGATTTCCGAGAAGAAGCTGCGCGACGCGGGGTCTTCCTGGTCCTCAAACACTATACAAGGCACGAACGCTATGAGCGGTCGTGCTGCAAAAATGCGCGCGTAGTGTACGCCGGGAGTGCGAGTCGCAGAGCGCCGACGTGCGCATGTCGCCAAGCTTGACGGACCCGCGGCTCGTGCTGTACATCATGATGTTGCAGTGCGACGGATGGAAATCGGCAGCCGTAATGACCTCGGTGAGCTCCTCCATGTTGTTGGGCTTGATGTCGACAATGTCTGTCAAAAGACCGTGGTCGATAAGGTGTCTAGGATATCGGACGCGAGCTTACTGAAGCTTTGGTTGGACACACCAAGGTGCCACAGGTTGATGCGCAGGTCGTCGGCCGATAGAAAGGTTTCGCCGTCACTGTTGAGCGCGATCGAGTTGATGTGGTACGTGTGGGCGTTGGCAAAAACGCGCTTGGGCGTCGCAACCGCCACCGTGTCGGTGACGCTCATGGTCGGGAACATGATGCGCTCGCCATACGTCATGTTGGCGCGCTGCGTGCTACGCACGTGGCGGTCGTGCAGCTTCCAGAACTTGATCGTCTTGTCGTTCGTCGAGAGCAAGTAGAGTGCATTGTTCGACGCCCGGCACCACTTGATCTTGTTGACTTTCTCTTCGATCTCCAAGCTCTTCAAGTAGTCAAACTCGGGCGTATGGCTCTGGAACGTCTTGTAGTTGGCGTACTTGGAGGGCTCTTGCGATTGGAACGACCGGCGAAGCTTTTCCTTCTGCGGATCGCGTGAGCTCGGTGGTGGCCGCCAGGTGTACCTTATGGGCGCCGCCTTCCTTGGAGTAGACGATGACTTGGCCACCCTTGGTACCAGTCGCAAGGTACTCGCCGGACCGATCATACTCGATGGCCGTGATCGTGTCGACTACAGATCGCATGTCATTGACCTGGGTGTCGTTGGAAAGCGGCTGCACGTACGGTCGCGCGCTTCGGCGCGGGCGGGCAGATCGGTCCGTTGCGGCTCCATGATGCGCTGGTTTAAGCTCCATCCGCCGGCGCCTGGCATCGCGCCTCCTTCCCCTCGCATCATCATGGAGCTGTTCCTGACCTCTTGCGGCATGATACGTCGTCCAACGTTGGGGCTACGAAGCGAGTTGGAATATGGGAATAAAATTACGCGGTTTGGCATTCCGCTTCAGTATGCGATCGCACCGTGCGGTTTCATGCGTGATTTAATTTAAATGGGATCTTTTTTTAAATATTCCAAAGATCGCCCCCTTCAAGGCAGCTGTTTATTTTATTATCCGGATAATCCCGCCGTCAACTTCGATTTTCGAGGCTATTTATAGCGCGCGGATCCTTTGCCGGCGCAGACCAATTGCACGCGCGGGATTTAATTTCGTCGAAGGATATTAATATTAGTATTCGTCGTCCATGTTGATGGGGCCATCTGGGCATAGTGGGAGAACCTCGTCGCGTTGTACCGTAGAATGATTAGCTCCCATGATAGGGAGCTCCGATCGTGGGGATGTGTCAAGCTCGCGACTCGTCCATAAGGACCCGTCGTCCGTTGCTCCAACAATGGAGGACAGGCGGCAACAAAGACGTGGCCCCTTCAAAGTTTCCTGGCCGTTGGTTTTGCTCAAGCACATGGAACGTCGTCTTGTTTGCACTGGACTGTGTGTTGGTTGCTGCAACGGCAAGTCGATTCTTCTGCCGAACGCGACACGACGGCCGCGTCGCGGCAGAGAATGCTGCGAGTTGATTTGCCTGCGACATACTGTACTGCTACAGTATTACCTGTCAAGTCGAAATGGAGGCGATGGAGTATGGCGCTCGGTGCGATTTGCTCGCGTCGTCTCCGTCTTTTTCTTCCTCGTGAGGCGCCAGCACGCCCAAGGGAATGGAGGAGATGGCACTGCGGAGACTTTTTGCCGGTTTCCGCAAGTGTTGGGTGGTTGGTACACATTGGATTGGCAGACAAATTGGATTGCGCGACGTTGCTGCTCAAGTGGCCGTAGAGCGTGCCACGTCACAGAGTGGTGGGGCATTCCCTCGATTCGATTCGGTTCAGGGATACGATCGGAAACGGTTGCAACGCCCACGACGAAGGCATGGCGGTCTGCGCGCCTCCTGTACCGGTGGTGATCGGACCACACCGCAGCGGTCCTTCGCCAGCCATCATCACGCTCGTCGCCGTCTACTTTACAGGTCCCATCGCTTTCAAGGTGCTTGGCACTGTCGCGCGGTCGTGGCGCGCCGCTGTGCTCGCCGACTCGGTGTGGCGCCAGCTCGTCGCCCGGGACTTTCCGGCCTCGCCGCTGCAGCCGTGGCCTGGCGCCTCGTGGCGGTGTGTGTACATGGCCGAGTATCTCCAAGTCGGGTCCCCGTCGCTCGTGCCAGCATCCGAGGACCGCCCGCTAGTGAATTCATCTGCTACGTTCCACGTCATGTGGGGAAGCAGTCCGTTTCGCCTCGTGCTCGATGGCCACCGCTACGCTCGGCTAGCGCACATGATGGACATGTGGAAGACACGCCGACTCAAGAAGAACGGGTGGAAGGCCGTCGAGGTCGTCGTGTCCGAGACAGGCGTCGTCATCCATACGCCAGACGGCATTCGCCTCAAAGCGCGGCTGCCACTGCAGTACATTGTACGACATCGAAGGTTGCGAATCTTCAGGACGTTCGTAGGGAACCATCGAGGCGCTCGACTCGGGCGAGATACATATCACCCCCATTGAGGGCTCGCCGTACCCGCGGCGAATCACCTTGCGAGCGTCGTCACCTGCACTTGCACGACTCTGGGTGGCCGTCGCGATCGAAAACACCGCCGTCTTCACGACCAAGCACAACCTCATCCTGCACTCGACGCCATCGGTACGACGACCACCACCACCATAATCGGTGCCAAGAGAAAGCCTCTACTAGTCGGACGAAGTGCAGATTGCGACCCGCTTCCAAGATATTCTCAGCTTGCGCAAGTTGCACGCGTTTCGACTGGCCCAAGACGTCTTCAAGGCGCTGCCAGCCAACGCCACTCGGAAGAGCTCCATCTCCCAAGACGCACTCCACGCGTTCACCGAGAAGCACGCGCTCAGCTTCCTCTCGCAGAAAAGTGCGGCACCCGCAAAGAAGCTCCCGAGCTTCCGCCTTCTAAGGCTAAAAAAGCCGGCGCGGACCGGCATCCAGCAACACTGCACCTTGTGCCGGAGCCTGCCCTACTTGTTGCGACGTGGCTCCACGACCAAGGTAGTCCAACAGCGTGACTCGTTTCGATCTTTTTGGCGTGGTGGTAGATACGTTCGAGGGCCACACGTGCGCGCACTTTATCCGCACCGCGCGCGCCAAGGCCACGAGCGCTGCGTCACCGCAACACTGCCACGCGTACCTCTGTGACGTCCGCGACGTCATCGCGCACGTGATGCGCTACGTGTTGGCCTATCGCAAAAGTGAACTTGGTGTGTTTGAGCTTTCGCAAGAGAGCCTCGAGACGGCCGTGCTCGCCGCCATTGAGCGCAAGCTATGCGCTGACTTGGCCAAGCCTATTAAAGAGTGGGCAAGAGGCTTTACCTCTCCAATGAACGAAGCCAGTCTCGCGGCCAAGTTGACGAAATGGAGCAAGTTACCTCCGTCAAGTCCTCAAGTATGTAGTACGATAGAAGATGCGTGTCCTCATCCTGCTATGTACGTGTGCGCTAGTTTGGCCTCGGCCCCGAATTCTGCCTCCCGTGGATGAGCGTTCTCGACCAGCTCGTGCTCATGGAGACCGAGATGCTGCCGTCGGGGAAGCTGCGGCTCCTCCTCGGCGCCGCCAAAGACGTGTACACGACGTTTGCCAAGGCCAGCGTCGGGGCGCGCACGCTGGCGGCCGACGACTTTTTACCAGTTTTCATCTTTTGTATTTGCAACGCCAAGCTCAAGAAGCCGCTGACAACGCTCGAGCTCATGTGGTCGCTTTGCAACCAAGAGTCGCTTCAAGGTGATCGCTTTCCACCACTGAATGTAAAATGAAATTCAAACTAGGGGAAGCCGGCTACTACCTCACCATGTTGGAAGCCTCGCTCGAGTACCTGCGCGCCAGCGACTAGTTGAGGATATAAAATAGCATCCTGACCTCTCTGGAGCGAGCTGGGGGCGCAGAGAATCCATGATCGCATCGAGCTCGCTGAGGGCTACAAGCTATTTGTAATTCTGTGGTGGTCGAGATAGATTATCTCTGCTGCGCACTGACACGCATGTCGTTCACCGTGGTTTGTGCTCGGGTAAAAGCGACGCATACCAGTTCAAGCATGGAATCTCTTCTCTAGCATCAAGGGTCAATAAAAATGCACCAACCCTAAAATTGCCTGTCACTTGGCCGCAAGCTCCATTCAAATATCCGATAATACAGCTTTCAGGGCTCGCGGCTATTGTCTTGAGTATCGACCGGTAGGAATTCCGCTGTGGACGTGAGAATTCCGGATACCAACGACGCAGCGAGTGGCATGTAGCAGTAGCACTTTCCGATCGATGAAGCTCCGCGTCCTTTGTCTCCACGGCCACCGCCAAAGCGCCAAGAAGCTCAAGGGCAAGATGGCCGCGCTCACCCGCGCCGTCAAGGCGACGACCGAGTTTGGTGCGTGCCGACTTCTCCATCGTCCTTCCTCATCTCAACGTGTCACCTTGCAGTCTTCATCGACGGTCCGTTTGAAGTGCCGTACGAGCCGACGTCCGAAGACCACATGCAAAAGTAGGCACCTTCGCCTGCGTGGCCCATGACAAAGTGCTTGTAGAGTGGAAGGCATGACGGAGGCCGAGCTCGCGGAACTCAAGCTTTCGATGGAGCAGTTTGCGTGGTGGAACTTCTCTCAGGACCCGGTCACGAAGGCGTACTCGTACCATGGCGTCGACGAAGCGATTGCCTACATCCGCAACATCTGCGCAACGCAAGGTCCGTTCCACGGTGTCTTTGGCTTTAGCCAAGGCGGCATGTTTGCCGCGCATCTCTTGGCGCTCGACCACGAGATGGGCGAGTGCACGTTTGAATTTGGCGTCTTTTGCGCGTCGGCCTGCCTCACAGATCCTGCGTACAAGAAGGAATTGTTGCCGGCGTCCCTTCCAACGCCGTCGCTCCACATTATCGGTGACCAAGACGAGCTAGTGGCGCCGTCCCGGTCCGACGAGCTCGCAGCTGCGTTTGCGGGCGCGGACGTGCTCCGCCACCCAGGCGGACACTACATTCCGACCCAGAAAGAGCCGCGAACGGTCTGGAAGGCATTCTTTGAAGCCCAAGCCGCACGCTTGCAACCGACGGTCTAAGTCAACGAGATCGACCTTCCATTTTCATGCAGTAGTATTGGATTTCCGCAGCTCTTCAAAAAAGCCCGTGCGTTCGTTCCGGAGGCAGCTCGCAGCGGACATCACGCGACCATGGACTGCGATGTACACGCCATGGCGCAGCGTGGAGCACACGCCGACGGCAAAGCCCAGCGCGAAGGTCGCGTCTGACGCCGTCTCCGTCGCAGGCAGTGTCGCGCCCGTAAACACGACCACCTTGGGCAACGTCGGCAGGTTCTGCTGCACATAGCGCGCCGACTCGAGAAGCGTCTCGAGCCCGTGGGTCACAACCACGTGGGACGCCGACGTCTACAGATAGCGCCATGGTTGGATCTATTGGAGGTACGATGATGGTAGTACGCGAAAGAGGGCCGCCAAGAGCGCTTTGCGATCGGCAAGGGTGATGTCGGCGCCTTCGCGTTTACAGACCGAGATGGCCTCGTAGCCGCGACTGTAGTGACCGACGCTGAGGATCTGGCGCACGCACGAGTCGCCAATCTCAAGCTGCGTTTTTTCGCCAAACCTGCCAGTGCTGACACTGCGACGGTCCAACGCGCCGCCCATGTGAAGAAAGCACCAGTCTACCGACTCGTCGCCTACAGTAAATAGCTGTGGTGCTGTCGGCTAGGACGGACGCGGAGGAGATACCGAGGCCAATGGAGCTGGATGACGCCAGCCGACTTGAATTTGGACGGCTCGAGTTGAGCCGCGCGCTGGGTGGTGGTGGTGGCGGCGTTGAACTGGTCTCGGTTGATGATCCGTGGCCCAAGAGCAGCTGGATCACGTCGGGCACGCGTGGTTTTCGGGTCGTCCGAGCCTCTACGCATATTTAAAGTCCTCAGCTTGCGGCTGCTACTACGATCGGAAGAAGCCTGCCTTGGGCAAACGCGACGACGTCATTGATGGCCTCGGCAATACCCAAGGCGTGCTGGCGGTGCAACCACAGCGCCAAGACATTTGCAGTGCGCGATTGGCCCTGTTCACAGTAGCGTCAGCACGCGCCCACCACGCAAGGTCTCTCGTCGTACGTACTGTGGAGCAAAAGACGACAATCTTTTCGTTGGCGTTCACCGCGCGCGCCAAGCAGCTAAGCAGCGTCGCGAGCTGCCATGCGCTGGCCACGTCGACGTGCGTCACGTGCGCGTCGCCGAAGCTCGCGCCGAGGCTCTCCAAGAGCGGTCTCGCGTAAAACCGCAGCTCCTCCTTGGTCAACAGACACAGTACGTGGCCAATGCCGGCCGCTTGCATAAAGCCAATCCATTTTTGCACGATCGCGTCGTCGACGTCGGGCCCTGGCCATTGGTGTGTCAGGATGACTTCGCCGTAGCGGGCATATTACCGCGCGGCGTCGCTGGCTGGTCGCGCGTGAGGTGGACGTAGCCAGGCCGCTCGGCGCCGTACACCAGCTCGCAGCGCGACGACGCGCGGCCAAAGTTATACCGGCGCAGTGCCTCGTCGGTCATCCTTGGATCTTTCCAAAATGCAACTTCCTGTGAAAACGGATGCTCCATCGTAAAATGCATTGCCAGAGGAGTATCATCAACAACGCAAATGGGCAAAGCGAGCGACGAGTGCCCGTGCCGGAAGGCGCTGCTGCGCAAGAGCATCTTCACCGCCGCCCAGGATGGCGACCTCGACCACGTGCGCAGCTTCTTCGAGTGCCACAAGGCGCACCTCCATGTGGACTTCGCCGATGACTTTGGCTACACGTCGCTGCACTACGCTGCGCAATGGGACCGCGTCGACGTCGTCGCGTACCTCTTGCAGAAAGGCGCGTCCGTCGACGCGCGTGCGTGCGGCGCCACGCCGCTGCATCGCGCGGCCTTTCGCGGGTCGGCGGCCAGCGTCCGCCTCTTGCTCGCTTATGGCGCCGACGCCAACCTGCCCGACACGTCCTTTGGCGACTTGCGCACTGCATTGCACAAAGCAGCGAGCGAGGTACACTGTACGCGCATGCCGATTGATCCTTTGCCAAGAGCACTAGCGCTGTGCGTAGGGCCACGACGACATCGTGGCGCTTCTTCTATCGGCGCAGGCGGATCCGACAGCGCGCGACGCCGCGGGCAAGCTCTACGCCGACTGCCGCGCCGATGACTGCATCGCGCTTTGCACGACCACCACGGACCATGCGATGCACGACGTGGCAGATCATGTTGACGAGCTGCCTGAAGAAGAGCTAACAACCGCCGGTCTTGCGTGTAGCCACTGCCACCGTCCGAGTCTAGTGATCGTCCGGACGCCATGCTGTCGCTCCCCTGAATGCGAACCGTGCCATGAGCTGCAACGGCCATGTGCTCACTGTGGCCTCGTCTCGCATCGTCCCGACACGATTGCGATGGAGCCAGCATCCCTTCCCGAACGTCGTCCTCCATCGTCGCAATCACCACTACTCCGCTCGGGCGCGCGCCTCGGTGGTCTCTTCGACCTCCAGCGTCGTACGACAAAGAAAGCGGGCACTTTGTAGCGTTGTGGTTATTAAAACAGCTCAAACCGGCCCGCGGGCGCCTCGGCGGGGGTCGGCTTGTCGCCGCTCAAGTACGTTTTCAGCGAGTCGAGCTTGCGGCGGTGCTGCAGAAACGCAAAGATCCACACGTAAAGCACGCCGAGCGCGCACGTCACGGACAGCAGCAGCAGCGGCAAGAACGGGTATCTTGGCAACACAATCGGTAGCAGCATCGCCGCGCCCGCTACGCCAACGAGCAGCGTCACGTAGGCTTGCTGGAGGCGCGTGAGGCCGATGCCCGCGTACTTGATGCGCCGCGCCTTGAGCGAGTAGGCGTGGAACGGATCGAGGCAGACGTTGGCAAAGAGGGCGTGCGTCGCCGTGAGGAGCGCGCGCGTGCCTATCTCGGCCGGCGTAAAGAGAAGCGGGAAGAGCGAAATGTTGCCGACGAGCGTCGCGATGCGGTAGAGCTTGGCGTCCCGCGTGCTCTCGGCCGCCAAGAGGCCGAGCGGCAAGGTGACTTGGAGAATCGCCTTCTCGTGGACGTGGTACCCAAAGAGGAACGAGCAGAGCATGCAGTAGACAAGCGCTGGCATGAAGAGCGACGGGTCCGGGTACTTGGCGACGTCGCGGAGCACGGGCGCCATCGTAAGCAGCGTCAGGAGGAGGCACACGACTGGCGCGACCGACGGCAAAACGACAAAGCTCGCTTCTTGGACGAGACCGCCGCTCATGGTGCCGACCGGCGACGGCACGCGCAAGAGCGTTGCGAGCACCTTGTCGGCCAACGCGTAGAGCGCCCACACGTTCGGTGCCCAGTACGCATGGCAAAGCCCTCGCTGGACCGGGAAGAGCCGCGACGCAATCTGCTGCAGATGCACAAGCACGCCACGGGAGCTTGGGTCGCCGACAATGACGGAGGCCAAGGCGACGCCAAAGACAACGACGACGACGGCGCCAAGCGTGAGGAACCGACGGAAACGGAAGCGACCGTGGCCGTTCACGAGCGCCTCAAGCGTCTCGTGGACGTCCGTGTTGGAGAGCGACCGCTTCCGGAGCTGCGCCGACCGCGGCACCGTGTAGCAGTAGTGCCCCAAAAGGTACACAAAATAGAGCAGTGCGACGTAGAGATAAATGTGCTTGAGCATGAGCAGGATCGCGTAGACGAACGCGCCTTTGACGTCTTGGCCCTCGCGGATGTAGGCGACGCTCAGAATGAGGAGGCCGAGGAGCATGCCATTGTACTGGAAGTGGACGTGGTCGACCATGAGGAGGCCGGCGTCGAGGAACGTGAGGAGGAGCACGACGACGCGCTTGTTGGTGTTGAACGCGACCTCGGTCGTCGTCACGCGCGGCCATGAGTTGCAGTATTTGATAATGCCAAAGTACAAGACAGCATCCGAGGCGATGACCGAGAGGCGCTGAAACACGATCGTGCCAGCGCTGGCGTAGTTGAGCGGCGTGAGCGCGAGCATGGCCGGGTCTACATATGCGGCAAAGAGCCCGAGAAAGCGCTCAAACCACGCAAAGAACGGCGGGTAGTCCAGCGTCCACTCGCTGCCAGCATCAAAGTACCACTCGGTACGCGGCAAGGACGCTGTGATCGCGAGCCAGTTGCGGTGCACTTCAAAGTCAGTGCTCTTGTACGATGGCATCAAGAGCAACTTCAGAAGGGTGCCGAGAAGGAAGACGCCGAGGACAGGGACGTCGACGGCCTTTTCGAAGGCGGCCGTCGGCGGCGCCTCGGCGGGCGGCGCGGCTGCCGAGCGCCCTCCTGTCGGGCGGGCCATGTGGGACAAACTCGCAAATAGGGTATATCCCGAGTAAATCCCACGCGGATCGGCCACGAAGGGAGTGGGAAACAGAACTCTCTTGCCCAATGTATGTGGTGGAAACCAATTGAATTAAAATACGTCGTCGGCTCGCCACGTCATTCGCCGTTTGTGGTCAAGATGATGTCCTTGCGCACGCTCCTCAAGATGACGCTGCTCCTGGCGGCGCTCGTCGCCATCCATGGCCTCAAGGAGAAGGCCAAGGCGTAAGATACATGCGCATATCGCTGGTAGGATGATGGATGAACATGAGGATGCTACTAGCGTCGGTGGCCTCGTGCCCGAGATCGGGTTGACGGAAGCGCAACTCGCCACGCTCGGTTACGTCAAGAAGAACCAGCATTCGTCGACGTCGCTTCAAGTAGTTGTTTATGGGTCATGCTATGTAGATGCTCATCGTAGCGTAGGTGACGCCGCGCAAGCATGCGCCGCAGTTCCACGACGTCAAGGCTGTGGTCGACGAGAAGTTTACGACGGTCTCGCTCGACGACTACAAGGGCAAGTGGCTCGTGCTCTTCTTCTACCCGTTTGACTTTACGTTCGTCTGCCCGACCGAGATCGTGAGCTTCAGCGACTCGATCAAGAGCTTCCGCGCGATCAATGCTGAGGTGCTCGCGATCTCGACAGACTCGCACCATACGCACTTGGCATGGATCAAGACGCCCCGGGACAAGGGTGGTCTCGGCAAGATGAACATCCCGATCCTCGCCGACATCTCCAAGCGCATCTCATCCGACTACGGGGTCCTTGTGACGGACGAAGACGACGAGATGTTTGGTGCGGCGCTCCGCGGTCTCTTCATCATCGACCCCAAGGGCGTTGTGCGCTCGATCCAGATCAACGACGACCAGGTCGGGCGCAGCGTCGACGAGACCTTGCGCATCCTCAAGGCCTTCAGCTACGCCGACAGCCACCCTGGCGAGGTGTGCCCGGCCAACTGGACGCCCGGCTCCAAGACGATCAAGGCTGATCAAGAAGCCAAGTACGCGTTCTTCGAGGCGACGTACGGCAGTGAGAAGGAGCTTTAAGTGCTCTCCCTTCATGGGCTGCTGCACGCCATCGAATTCGCTTTCGAGATGGTAGTCTTTTTGCTCGTTGCGTCCCAGCGGTATACCACGAATGGCATCTTCATGGACGCTTCTTGGTAAGCCCGGCTGGCAGCTCATCAACGTGGTGAAAGCCATCAAGAGTCCACGCGACGAGGTCTCATGAGCTTCGACATCCTGGTGAAGTGAAAGCCAGAGGCAGTGAGTGTGGCGGCAGCCGACCAAGTTGGCCTGCCTCGAAGTCCTGCAGGCACTAGTCGCACGCATACAATCTGAGCTGTCCTGGTCGCGTAGGGTTTCGCCGCTGTGCAGGTCGGCCCATCTCGCTCCAACGGGCTTCTTCGTCGTCCCACGCTGCGCCGCGACTGTTCCGATGGTATACGTTAATCAAATATATTGAAATAAACAGCGCTGGTGCCAGGTCTATGCGGCAAGCACACGTCCATGCAGAAGCGCCAATTTACTCTTCCTTCTTCTGGGGGAAGCCGTGCTTGTAGTTCTGGAACTTGCAGCAGCCGACCGTGACGACCGCGCCACCGCCGACAATGGCGATGATGCCGGCGCCGATCGACTTGGCGTTGAACGGGCCGTCCTCGAACACGCGGTGCTCGTGGTGGTGGTCCTCGCCCATGCGGCGGGCCGAGCGCGAGATGCCACGGGTCATGGGGGCAGTGATCTTCGAGACGGAGCGGGCGAACATGGTGGAGGTGGTGACTTAAGAGGCAACTGACTGGTTCCAAAATGGCCATCGGTTGCGTGTTGTGTAATCTCAGCCTCTGAAACAACATATCTCGCAAACGGTCGATTTTTACTCTTTTATTCGTTTATAGAGGTTTTCCGGTGGGATTGCCGTTTTTTTGGCCCAGCGCCGAAGGCCAGCGTCGACGCCCGCCAACCAGCGGATGGTCGCAACGGTTGCTCATCCAACATGCAACAAATGCTGGTGGCAAGTGGTGGGACGAGTGGCTGGCGACTGGCAAATCGCAACGGCTCGACTGCTATGACGACGACGACGCAGCATGCTGCTGGCGTCTACTAGATTGACCGGCGGCGAAGCGAGCGCGCACGAAGACGAGCCCCGTGGCCACTCGCGCCGAGTGGTCAGAGTGGCACTTGGCCGCAGTATAGACGCGGGTCCCGCCCTGAGTATAGAACCGGTCCATGGTCATGGTCAAGCGACATAAAGTTAACGCGTATGGAGACACGGGCCAGCGCCATCACATGGCACGTAGTACACAGGTTGCGATGCGGGAGTCGACACAGCGCACGGGCATACGACCGAGAATCGGACTACATTCGGGATACATCGATGGACCTTAGTCGCGCTTGACGAATTCGCCGACATTCGCCGACAATGGGTGCGTGTAATAGCAAGGACGGTGGGTACAGGTTGCTGGCCTTGGCGTCATACATGCTGAGCCACTCTTGGAGCGCACTGCGGCACGCGTCCGTGTCCTTGAAATCAGCGACAAGCCCACGCTCTTCGCACGCAAAGACGAGTTCGTTGTGCGAGAGCGCGCCGAGACCTTCCTGCAGCAACAATCGATCGTCGATGCCGATCTCCAGCGCGCGCGTCTGGAGACGGTCGACGAGCTTGGCGCGCGGCAAGAGCGTGTACAGGCGCACAAACGGCGACGCAGACGTGGCGAGCACGAGGAGCTTGAGATGCGCCGTTGGCAACTTCTCGAGAACGCCAGGGCCTTCGAAAAGCTTCTGGTACTCGACAAGGACCTTCGGGTCCAGCTACAACGAACGACCGTGAGCAAGGTACAAGCGTACTACAACGAGATGGTACCTTGGACAGCTTCTTTTCGTTGTACGACGCGAGAACGGACTCGAGGAACGGATCCCACGTCGCGACAAGCTTGGCGACGTCACCATAGTACGTCGCCTTGGTCGTGACGTCTTCGGTGAAGAATTGGGCCTTTTGCTCGGCCGTCCAGAATTGCCACGGCAGCGTGAGCTTCGGAAACTTGTAGCCGATCAGAGGCGCCAAGTTGCCCAGGAGCGGAATGCCAAATGCAAAGAGGAGCGGGATCGACTTGAGCAAGTCGCGCGGGGCTTGACGCAGCACAAACATCTCGCGCCGAGAGAGCACTGTGTCAGGCTTCTCGTACAGCTTGCGGCGGCTGGCCCACGCCTCCTTGTTCTCCTGCACGAGCTCCTTGGCACCGTTTGTGAACGGCGCGAGCCACAGCTTGAGCTTCTGGAACGGTGAGAGCTGCTCGTCTGCCTTCTTCGTCTCGCTGGAGGAGGACGTCGAGTAAAAGTGGAGCGCCAGCGCAGGCCGCCCGGGCGCAGCACCTTGCACGCACAAGGCGATGATACCCGACGGGCGGCCACGTGCCACACGCGTCAACGACGTCGTCGCCAGCATTTCAAAAATAAGATATTAGTGTTAGCATTTGCTGGATAAAAACACCCAACTCAAATTGCACCATCGACCACTTCCAACGACGCGGACGCTGTTCCAGGAGCGAGTGGGTCATGCCGGGCCAGCTCTCTTGTGCGCTTGGGTGGCATTCGTACAATACGACAAAGCGGGGTCTCATGGGGTACGCGGGGTCGGCGACGGTTGCGTGCCAGAAGCCCCGGGCCGGACGCTTCTTCGCACTTGATTTTATTAAACTTGATCATTGTAGGACACCTTCCTTGGGATTATTAAAATAGCCACCCCGGTTGTGATTGGTCATTTTGTGATCCAACGATGCGGGGCGCTTTCCCGGGCTTGCGGCGACCCGCGCTTGTCCTCGTCGTGAGCCCCCATGACGTGCTCGAGCCGGCGGCGCTAAAGCGAGCGCTACGAAGCTCGACCATCGACGCTATCCAGCTCCGGAACAACCCCGAGATGCCTGTACCCAACTCGATCTACATCAAGACGGCCACCCAACTCGCTGCCATGCGCGACCGGCGAGGCCCCCGCCCGCTGCTCATCCTCAATGCGCCTTACGACACGAGCTTGCAGCATCTATATCCTGAGATTGCCGACGCATTCCACTATCCCGAGCGCACCATCATGGATGCATCGGTTGCGGACGACCTGCAGCGCGGACCCTCTCTTTACGGGTTCTCCGTCCACTCGGTGCCTTCGGCCCGCCGAGCGATCAAGCTAGGTGCTTCTTACCTCCAGGTTGGCATGAAAGCTTGCTGCCAATGTCGTCTTCACGTGCAGCAAGCTAGGTCGGCACGATGTTCCCGACGGCGTCGCATCCGGAGAAGAAGGTCGTCGAAGGACCTGCCCTCATCCACGAGATCCACAAACGCTTTCCGGACGTGCCTCTCATTGGCATCGGTGGCATCGACGAGACCAATTGCGCCGACGTCCTCGCAGCCGGTGCGAGTGGCGTTTCCGTCATTCGTGCCATCCTTGCGGCGAAGAGCCCCGGCGCCGTTGCCGAGCACCTCCGGCGCGAACTCGATACTCGCCGGGAGCCCAATCTCTCAAGCTCGCTATAAGGCCTCAGCTAAACGGTGTTCCTGGCGGCCAAGCCACACACAGATGTACACTGTACGACGCATTCTTCGTGGTGGAGCATTGTGCCGCATCGCTCGTGGCGTGGGCATAGCGAGAGGCATGACCAGCTCGCCCATGACAGCGTACCATAAAGCGACGCTTCTTCAGTGGCATGGCATCAGCTGGCGGCAGGAGCGCTCCACTCGCGCGGCCACGTGCTAGTGTGGACGTCGTCCTGCCCGCTCGTCTGTGCGCTTGGCGACGCTGGTGAATTTATGGAATTCAAAAGTTCAAAGCCCCACGGCTTTTTTGTCGCCTGTGCCTGTCACATACAAAGATCAAGAGAGTGCCAGTCAATAGTATTTAAAATGAAAGAAATTCAATCAATTGGGCTTGACTTGCATCGCAATTTCCTTGCAGAGGGGCCGGCGCTGATCCCCATCTTGGCCGAGGACGATTGAAGAGGGTACGGGATGCTTCCTGGGGATATGGACGAACTCGCGCTGTAGGACGGACGCAAGATGGGCATTCTCGACGGTATCTGGGCCTCCATGAGCGGTCCCGCGCGGCAAGCCACCGTCTCGTTCGCTTCCGTGGCCAAGAGCGACGACGAGCCTGACCTGTACGAAGAAGACGGCGACTTCAACTCGGCGTGGCGCTACTATGACAGCGCGCTTGCGACAGCGGCAGAAGCAGGTACGCCCGTGTGTGCTCGAATGGCGAAAGCATGGTTGCCATCTAGAGCGGGCGCTGACCTCGACGCCGGTCCAGAGCTTTGTGCTATGGAACGATCGAACCGACGAAGCCAATACGCTCTTCTTGACGATGCACGTTGAGGTACGATCGCAGCCGCTTGCCGACGCCCATGACCCTTTGTCTTAGCCGCTGACCTTTGAGCACCACTCGCTCGGCCACCTCGTCAACGGCTGGAGCCTCCTGCAGCCATGCGGCAAGAAGACGTGCGCCGGGATGGACTGCGAGTCGTGCTACTCGATTCTGCACCTCGATGAAGTATTCTTGAACTCGTATGACAAGGTCGCTGCTGAATCATGAGCTCATACGCACGAGGTCGTAGGTACCCGCAAGCGACGCTCGGTCTTCGTCGCGACCACAACAATCGCGCGTCGTACCTGGAACACGTTGCATGGTATGGAGTTTCAATGTTTCTTGTCAACCAATGTGCCCTCACGCGTTCTGGCAGGTGGGTGGGCGCATCGCCATCGATCGAGCTCGTCGTTCCCCGCGCGCCGATCCTCAATGACATGCGCTGCGTGCATCACGTCGATGCGTCCACGTCGACCTCGATCGTCACGATCACCCTCGTGCGCGCGTCGAGCACCCTCTGCGCTGCTGGGATCACGCGCGGCTTTCGCCTTCTCTCGGTATATTATCGTCGATCGCATCGATCACCGCATCGGTGGTAGGTGGACGAGACGCTCATCCATAGCGTCCACGGCGTCGCGGCTGCCGTCACTGCGTCCAACACGCCGTTTGTCCGCTTGCACCTGCATGCCCCGGGCGTCCCGTCGCCCATGTCAATTGATGCACCAACGCTCATGTGCGACACGTACCAAGTGACATTCGCGCCGCTCCCGAGCCGGGGCATTGAGCACCTCGGCGACGTCGGCCTTCGTTTCCGCAAGATCATGGACACGATCTGCGTCGTCGACGTCTCGGGGTACGCTGCGTCCCGCCACGTACGCCGCGGCAGTCTTGTGCTGCGCATCAACGGTCTGCGCATCGATTGTATCATCTCGTCTTGTGTCTGATGTGCACAAATAGGCACGCGGACGCCCTTTCTGAGCTTTGATCGGCTCTCCGAGTTTACGGCGAGCAGCGCCTTCTTCCGACTGCCATTGACGCTCGACCTTGTCGCGCTGCCGCAAGAAACGTACTTTATCGACCGAGAGAAGGCGCTCATCTCGGCGTCGCTGGCCGCGTACCAGATGGCCAAGGTGGCCGAGCACGTACGCATCCATTTGCACACGCTGCAGCCGCATGTGCTCTGCGCCCACGGCCTCGCCGACGCCTTTGACACGAGTGCCTTTGCGTCGCTCGGCCCCAACGCGCGCCGCGCGATCCTTCCGTTCGTGGCACCCCGCATGCTTTCGAACGTCCCGATTCCCGCCGACATGGTCCGGCTCCTTGGCGTGCTCAAGGCGCATTTTGGGCGCACGGTTGCTCTGGGCAACGACGCCATCGAAGTGTCGCTCTTGATTGTATACAGCTTGTGCTACGTAGAAGAAGTCTCGGTGCACCGCGAGGTACACGACGTGTGGGAGGATGAATGTTCCATGTACAGCTGTGTAGGCGGTGCACGCGTTTCGTGAGCTGATCAAGATGGTGCCCATGGCGTGCCTCCTCGAATACGTCCTCCCGCTCGTCTCGACGCTCAAGAGCAACAGCAAGACGCTGCTGCGCGCGGCGTCGGTCTCGCTCTGGCTCGAGTTTCTCCGGCGCCTCCAAACCCAAGCGATGCTCCTCGATGCCGACGAAGACGAACGCATGCCTGGCATCTCGATGGCCGATATGGACCACCTTCGGTGGCGCCACCAAGTGCTCGAGGCAGGCGTGGCCTTTGCCGAGCTCTCGTCCGACTTGGAACCAGCGGTCTCGTGCTCCGCGCGGCAGCACTTGACGTCGCTCGTCCAAGAGCTCATTGTGCCCGAGCCCGCGGACAGCGTGCATTGGTGCTGGCTCATCCCGCTCGTCGAAGCGCTCTCCAAGGCACTCATGCCCGACGGCCGGCTCGATGCGCTCCACCTCACGTACCAGCTCGCACCATGGACGTCGCCGGACCATGCCCATTGGCGCTGGCGCCTCGCGCTCGTCTTTGCGAGCCTCGCCAACGACGGCAACGACCTCATTCGCAAGGTCGCAGCGCAAAAGTTTGTGTCGTTCGTCGAGTACCTCCAGATCCAGGTACGCGATACGACCGATGTGTTGGCACCTCCTTAGCATGGTGCTCGTTGCTAGGACTTGTCGGCGTTGTACGACGCGACGACGATCACAAACGCGCCATTGAGTCCGCAAAACTCGCTGCTTGAAATGTCCGACATTCGGTACACGGAGCGTGCGCTCAGCGTGGCCAAAGACACCAAAAGAAAGTCGACGACGACGACCGGCCGCGCGGCTTGTCGGCCATCTCGTGGCTCGGGTCCGCGAGCATCGACAGTGACGGCTCGGACTTGCGGCGGCGCTGCATGAGCCTTGATAGTTTGCACCAGATCACGGCCGGCGACAGCACGCACCACGTGCTCTTTGCGCTCATTGACGGCTACATGAACCTCATGCATGTACGCAATTCGTGCCATGCGCTGCGAGTTTAATCGGTGATGTAGGATGCACCGACCGAAATCAAGAAGATCGTGTGTCGCAACGTCGGCCGCGTCGCCGAGCTCTTTGGCCACGAAATCCTCGTCAAGTTTCTCGTGCCGACGATCCAAGACGTGATTGCCATGGACATGGACGACTGCAAGTGCCACGGCAGCAGCCTCGTGTACGACTCGATCCACCACGTACGCTGCATGGCATCGGCCACGTCATGCATGATAATGCCTCTAGATTTTGACGCGGGAACTCTGTCGACTCTCGCCCCTGTTTGTCGACGACCCGGACGGGCTCGCTTGCGACGTGCTTCCGTTCCTTGTCGGCATCCTCACCCACCCGACGCAGCACACACACGTACGACCACGACTCGCCTCCTCTTCATTGACGCATCTCGGCATAGATCGTGGTCGAGATCCTCGAAAACCTCGACTACTTGGGCTTTGTACGCCACGTCCCATCACCGTCCAACATATAGCTCAACAAGGGGCCATGCGTAGGCGCTCGGAAAAGCCACGTTTCTCGCAGAGCTGGGGCCTGTCCTCTGCAACGCGATGGAAAACGCCGAGTGGAAGGTGCGCGTTGCGGTCGCGTACAACCTGGGGCCCCTCGCGCGCTGGCTCGGCGCGTCCGTCTTTATGCAGCACTTTCAAAAACTCGTCGAGACTCTCTCGCAAGACCTCGTGTACCAAGTGCGCAACCTGGCGCTGCAGCCACTCCAGCTGCTCGTGGAGCAGGACGGGCCATGGCGCACGTACGCCCTCGGCTTTGTCACGTCCGTGCTCGTGGCGCACGCCAACTACCAAATGCGCGTCGGCGCGATTTTGTGGTTTGCGGTGCGTGCGTGCGTCGGCGAGGCTAGCCAACTAATGATGCTTGTAGGCCGTGCGGGAGCATGTTGACGCGGACGACCAAGCCACGTACGTCGTACCGGCCATCGAAGCGCTGGCGACGGACGCGGTCGCTAACGTTCGTGTTGTCTGCGCACGGGAGCTGCACACGCTGCCGCTGCCCGAGGAGGTCCGCATGTCGCTCGTCGCTACCTTTTGCGCCGATGCCGACATGGACGTGCAGTTCTTTGCCAAGGACACGTAGAGGGCCGCGATACCATATTGTCATATATTTGAACGTCATCTAGCGTGTTCGTGATGGGGCAATCGATGGCGCGCGGGCCAAAAGCACGACAACGACTCTACCACTTGGTCAGCTTGTTGCGCTCATCGCCCAACTTGCGGATTTCCTCGACCTTGTCGTCCAAATAAAAGTTCATCGGCTCCTGGATGGCCTGGATGTCCTCCGGGAGGTACGCGCGCTTGAAGCTCAAGTCGGACGCACGGACAAGGCGGCGCTGGCGCGCGACCTTCTCCTCCTTGCCGAGCCACGAGACGGCCTTGTTGACCTCGGCGACCTCGACAAGCGCGTCGTCGTAGCGCAGGCCGAGCTGGCGCAGGCTCTTGCCGACTTGGCGTTGGTACAACTTGGCCAGGGTTCCGATCATGTTACTTTCGAGAGGCTGGATGGACAGTCAGTCGGGTTCTGAGGGCCCGTGCCAGCCACCAAACGAGAAATTCCCCCCACTTTTGGCCAATCATTGCGCTCGATTCCCGAAACCTGCCGCTTTTTATAGCATCGGCGGCGTTCTGGCCTCTCAAAACGCATACATGCGTTTCGTGTCTTTGCGATGTTTAATACACTAGCAACGGCCGTGGTATAGAATGTACGAGATTACTCACTGGTCAACGGTCGTGGGCCGTGTTTAAAACATATTTGAAACACAAAATAGGAAGGTCCCCGAAAGGTTGCCGTTGACGGCAAGGTTAGGCGAGGCGGATGCGTACCGGCCCCATGGGCAGCGTCTGCATGACCTTGCGCAGACGCAGGTCGCCGACGAAATGCTTTGCAAGCGCAAGCGACGTCGTCGCAGCGACTTCGTCCCACGTACGCGCTGGCAGCACGAGCTTTGTGAACGTCCCGGACGCGTGACGCCTGCGAATGTTGTCGACCATCTCTACACACAAAGCGGCTCGTTCGCCATGGCCGGCATGGCCCAACGTACCGCTCGATGTCTTGCCGGCGCCGGATTCCGTGGACTCGCGCTGTCCGTTGAACGTGTAAACGCTGTGCACGTACATGGCGGC